GGATTAACAGACCAGGGTCCAGATATTGATCCACCTGCTGGCTAATACGGACCGAACCTGTCTAAAACATTTAGAAATTACTGCATGATGTCTGGTGATAGTGTCTAACTCCACTTGCGCCACTTCTCCTGTTAACATGGTAAAACTCCGGGACCATACACATTAGAGGTGAGTATTGGCATGAGTGTTGCGATTCGATACATGTCGCGATACTTGGGTCACGATACGATATTATCACGATATTGCAGTATCACTATATATTGCCATATTTTCCCCAGCTATCAAAATCAATTGATGAGATAAAACAGCAAGTGCTGTATATTTTTATCAGAAAATATTGATTAGGTATTATTATCCATGTTGTTTGGGGTTTTCTTCCACTGTGACACACAGTTAAAGGGCTCCACATCGCTTTCTGCCAGAGTGGTGGTGCAGAGGTAGCCCATTTTCCCATCAATGTTTTGTGTGACCATTTTTTTTTTGAAAATCGATACTAAGAAGTGAAAGATCGATATTATATTGGGAAGCCGAATATCACGATATATCGTCAAAACGATTATTTCCCACACGCCTAATACGCATGATACAAATCAACCAATGAGCTGCTGTCAGTCTGGGCTGCTGCTGCCACTTTTAGACACAACAGGCAAACCTGTTGCAAGCCGGGTGATTGGAATGAAGGAGAAGACGATGAGAATGAGAGCAGAGAGAGTGTGGACTGCTAGAAGAACTGCGCCCAACTGGTGACAAAAAATTGAAATGGCATGCTCAAAGATGACATTACATTTTGAGTATGTTTGCCTCAACCTGCTGCTGTGAAGCAGGATTCTCCACCATGACCATTATCAAAAATAAATATTGAATGAGCACCTTGATATGTGCTTGAGAATGGCTTTTTTGCCATCCAAACCAAGGTTTAAAGCCTTACAGAGCAGCCTAAAGCCCACTGCTCTCATTAAGCCTTACAAAAAAAGTTAATAGTAATAATATAATACAAAAATAGTTTAAAAAATATGTGAATCAGGAAATTGTCTGTATACCAAACTGAACAATTGTTGTTCTCTACTTCAAAAAACACTTTAGATTTTGAAATGGAAAAATGTTCTATTTTTAATTTTTTTTAATGTTTTTAATAAAAAAGTCAATATATAACATGGATGCATAAGCACCTCGTTTTATTTAAATGCTGTTTAAAGTAACGGATTATAATTAAAAATGTCTCCGGACCTTTACTGGTTTTTCATTTTCTTTATTCAGACCTCACTGAATTTTAATTGGTTACCCCTGCTACAGGGCTTATAGCAGACTTCTTAGGGCTTTATTTCAATAATGACTTAGATGGTTTCACTTTATAAAGGCTAGATTTGTAGTTGTTATTTCCATTAACTCCCTCTTTTGAGTGGAGAATCTCTGTGGTACATCCAGGGTTACTTTGGACCTTAAAGGTATTGTGGAGAATTTTTGTGAATTTTTCCACCTTTAAAAAAAAAATGCACCTGCACAACCATGTACCCGCTCCCGAAAGAGAACCACATGCACAAGCCCATTTCTCCTCCTGCAAACTCTGTTTAAAAGTTGCTGTTCTCATAGCTCATACAAGCTTACTGTGTCTGAATGTCCGCTCTAACCCCTAAATCCCTCAATCGCTATATAGAGCGGGGACTATATAGTGGACTTTATATTGAACTCACTTAACTGACTTTTCAGACAGATGATCACTACTTTTTTACTTCATTTTTGTCACGTAACTCCTCCACTGCACGGTGCCTGCGCCATCTTTATTATTAGTCCCTGCTGTCGGGTAGCAACAGCCTATGGTGACAGCGGGCCACTGTGACAACAAATCCCATAATGATTTACAAGAAGAGCCTTTCTTTTCTTCTCATAAACTTCATAGATACTTCCTCTGACGACCATCAGCCATTTTCAAAGAACCGCGATGAGAAAGGTGGGCTTCAATGACTGTCTGAAACCGTAGCTCAGATACACGCCTGAAAGTGCTCATGTGCAGAAAAAGATAGCTAACGGGTCAAGCATGTAGGACGGCCTTACGTAAACATATCACCAGAATAATTGACAATTAGGAGGACCACTTATTTAGATGATCCACCCGGAAATGAAGACCCTCCTCTATACCTTTAATGATGATGATCAGGGACACCCATTTCCAATCCTCTAGAACTTTTATTTTATTTTTTCTGCATTTATTTGTGGTGGTCTTACAAATAAAATAATCTATCTATTGAAATAAAAAATCAAGAAAAGTAACAAAGAAATTGAGTTAAAAATGTTTCAGAGATTAGATGAGTCAATACACACCTACTGTAGGGTGATATCAGCCAAACCTCCTAGAATCCACTTTAAAGGAACCTAAAGGCTATTCTGGATATTTGGATCAATTTCTCAATACTGCTATGCATAATTTCCCGTATTGAAAGGCCATTTTACCAACTGTCATGCAGGAGATATCCAGGAGGGACCTTAAGGTAATCCACATTGATTTCCACTATGCTATGTGTTGGTGTTCTCATTCAATTTGTTTAATGCTCAAACTAAAATCATTGCAGCCTGTGCAGCATTTTGTATTTATTTAGCCTTTGCTTTTACTTCAGGTACCCACTTTAATACCAACTTATTTAATAAGGAGAAATGTAGGTTTAAAACCTCAGACTTCAGACCAAACAGTGACAGAGAGTCCATGATCTCCTTAACGTGAAATAAACAATGCAAAATAACTTTTGTCATCATTCTACATGCTTCCTTCACTGCATCGACATCCATCCTCTAATCTCCCTTTATTCAATAGACAGCACTCTGCTGTAATCAGATCAGTGTAAAACTGCATTAACTGCTTACACAGATGTAATTGAAATGCACTCATTTGCATAAGCAAATGGCTGCTTTTATGATTGCCTTCATTTAGGAAATATTGAGAGAAGCACTTCATCAAAAAAAAAGATTCAGTCTGTTGTCATTGTTTTTAAAAAGAGTTTTAGAGGAAGCAGATGTCGGAGTTGGGAGTACAGTAGTATATTATCGTTGAATGCTAATATAAAATGGTATCAAGTAGATGTATCTCTAAATGTAAATAATGATTAAAAGCAATTATCTAGGTTTTCATTTTCTTTTGATTAGGAAATATTAATAGGTTTATATAAATCCTGGCATTCATCACCCTCCTGTTACTGTTGATAATGCTGCAACAGCTTAAAACGCACGCATCTTAAAATCACCTGAAGTCTTTTTAAGGGTTTTTCTGTTTACTTTTATTTCTGTAACTTTATTTTAAATTATACATTCCTTAAAAAGTGAGAAAAAAAACATTTATGGAAGATGTTACTCAAAACCCAAAGCATTGATGAACCCAGGACGAATGTATGTATGTATAAAAAAAGTCCTTTACTCCACATTGTCGAAACTAGTCTCAGCAAAGTAGAAGAGTTAAATAGCGTAGATGGAAGATCCATTGCCTTGAACTTTAAGACAGTCATTGAGGCTCAGCTTTCTCAACGCGGTTCTTGAAAAATTTTGAAAAAAGGGTCGTAAGAGAAAAAGTGTCTATGAAGTGTGTAAGAAGAAAAGAAAGGCCTCAGAAGAGGCGGATATATCCCGGAATGCTTTGCGCAGAGCTCTCATCGCAAAGCATTATTGGATTTGCAGCTAATAACAAAGATTGCGCAGGCATCGGTGGTGGGGGAGGAGTTACGTGACCAACGGGGAGCAAAAAGTAGTGATCATTTGTCCGAACGATCAGTTAACTGAGTTCACTATAAAGTCCACTATATAGTCCCCGCTCTATATAGTGATTGAGGGATTTAGGGGGTAGGACGGACACTGTACGTTTTTATGAGCTGTGAGAACAGCAACTTTTAAACAGAGCTTGCAGGATGAGAAATGGGCTTGTGCATTCTCTTGCACGTTTGATATGTATTCATTTTGCAAGTGGGTACAGGGTTGTGAATGTGCAAATTTTTTTTTTAAGGTTTAGAGGGCGGGTCTTTACAAGCGCTTGTGAAAATTCCTCCAAAATAGCTTTAAATATCATGTACTTTTCTCTTTCCTGTTTTCAAATGTAAGAACAAATCTTCTTTGTTAAGCCACATTTGTATCCCTAGTAAACATTAAACACACATAGTTAAACTGAAAACAAATTATATGAAATAAATGTTTTTGCTTTATGGATTTTTATAGGGATTTTAGGGGTTATGAATGTGTGTTGCCATATTTATACAAAATAAGTAGTTGTAGGTTTGTTTCTATGTTTCTGTAAAGGTACATAAATGAAATGCTTTTATTTACTACCTTTTTCTACATGCAGTAATTAACATTTATTTTCTTGGCTTTTGCATATCAACCAGTAATGCCGGTGATTGTTCTGTATCTTTTAAACACACTCAATTAGACTATCTTTCTCGTCATTTTGTGAGTTTATCTTTCTGCTCTAGTTATTGTTTTCCATCATTTCCTGTCACCTCCTTTTATTGATGAGCATCTTCAGGTTTTGCATCGGCACATTTAGAAACAGAGGTACTGTTCAATGTATAAAAGCGGCCCGCTGATTTCACCTTAAAACACTTTTATAAACATGATTTACAGAGACTCTTGGCTGTGAGTGGCATTGATCTGTGTGGACAAGTCGCTGTGAGATCAGGACTCTGGCTGTACGATGATGCGCATAGCAGAGGGGTATTGCTCAGGATGTTGAAATTCAGTTATCTAACATGAGTTGACCCCAGTATTTATCCAATGATCAGGGGGACTGAGGCGGTGTGACTCTTATTAGTTGTACTGTAGCTTATCTCCCATTCAGTTTGGTTGCAGTCAGGTTCATTTCTGAAGCGGCTAAAGGAATCTGTAGCTCTGAAGAGGAGAGCAATCAGCAGCACTCCCCATCAAAAAGTCAGCAAAGAAGCAAATCATAATAAGTGCATGGGATGGCTCTAAATATGCATACAATTGATTTAAAAGAGGTTATATTATGTATATGTTTGTCTCCACAGGTACATAAAGTCAATGGAGTCAAAGGAGCAACTTCAGGAACACCCGACTCTGCGCTCCATGTCGGCTCCTACAATCTGGACAGAGAACTGCTGAAGAAACTGGGGATGGGCTTTGCACTAGCAGCCGCCATCTTGGCCTTTATTGTAGAGAAGCTGTTTTGAACAAACTGAATCAAGAAATAATTCGGAAAACGACAGCTTTGAAGTTTTCACAGAAGATGTTTTATTCAAGCAGGTTTGCTTCAGTTTTTTTTTTTTATTAGAAATTGTGACATCAAGGCTTTTTGTCTTTGTTCGCAATCTACCACATCTGGATGTTTTTAGTGCTCTGTTGCAACTTTTTACAGATAAACCAAGAACTGGAAAAGATGTTACTCATACTCCAGAGTATTTATTTTTAACAAACAATACGCAATATATTTTTAAGCTATTGGATAAATTCGTTCACTTTTTTTTTCTTTTTTTTTTAAACGTATTGTGGTTAAGATGGATGTTTATTTCCTCCAGTAAAAAAATTATAAATTACCTGTTCAAATCAAACAGTGTGAAATGCCTTGAATGTTAGAATTTCCTCTAAGTCTATAAGGCACATGAAGTGATTTGTTTTTTCATTCTGACCTTCTTTGCTTCCTACATGAGGAACGATTTCATTTGTTCTCTCTGATCTTTAGATGTTTTTCTTTGAGATTTATTGGCTTCCTCAGTACACTTCCATTTCCCGCATAAACTAGTCCCTTTTCTACCCACTACCATTATGATCCTTCTTTAAACTCAGATCATTATTATTATGGATAATCCATTGTACTGTCAGGATTTTAATTGTCTAATTAGTGAATACTCATAAAGCAGCTACTTTCTCTGTGTGTGGAGAACCTCTCTAATGTCTTGCAAAATTATTCATACACCTAAACCCGCAGCGTATATTTGCAGTGTCACATTAACAAACCTCTGGCTGTGTTCATTTAAATTTATATGATGACGCAACAAAAAGTAGGTTATAACTGTGAAGTGTAAGAAAAAAGAATACATTATTTTCTTTTATTTTAGACAATAATATTTGGGTGGTTTTTTGTTGATGCTTTATTGAACCAGTTTTAGCTGTGGATAAATCTCTATATCCTTTCAAGGTATGTCTCTTCTGGCTGTGCGTACCAAGAGACCACCATTTTGGCCGACTTACCTTTTGCAGAAATGCTCAACCCTTGATTGGACGGAAAACCCAGTTTTGAATTTAGTTGGACGATAAGCATTGATATTCTTACAGTTAACTCTGCTTTGAGCCAAAATATTCCTTCATGCCTCTGGATGCATTTTTTTGTTTGTTTGTTTTTTTACCTCCTACAGTTTAAAGTCTTTAAAATCCTTTCTCAGGTTTTGTTTTCAAAGCAATTAAAGTAGTTTCATTTTCCAGAAAAAACACAGCCACAGCATCATACTGCCACCACAGTGCCTTAACATCAGGATAGTTTGCTCTGGATGATTTGCGCTGTTAGTTTTCCTTCACATGTAGAATTATCCATTAAAAAAAATATGTGACAAAGAACGCAAATGCGCCCCGTGCTTTATAACTTGTTGTTAAAAAGTTTGAAAAACAAGTGTCATTTTCCTTCCACTTCCCAGTTATGAACTAGTTTGTGTTTTCTATCTCATAAAATCCTTATAAAATTGCCTGAAGTTCCTATTTTGAAAGTGAAAAAGTTAATGAGGTACAAATGCTTTTGAAAGCCGTGTAGCATGTATTATTAATTGCCGTCTTTTGTTTTCATTGTAACATCCAGAATCCTCTAATAAAGGCCAGAATCAGTTTATTCTGACTAAAACCGCCAAAGTTTTTGACTGATTCACTGACTCGCTAAATTATTGATTGTCTTGTTGCTGTCATAAATTAAGTCTGCTTGTGGTGCTGTCTGCTGTCTGTTCTGAGATACAAATATCCACACACATGCTGCGGGATCTCATCAGTAAATAATGTATGCCCCAATTTCTGTTGTTGCACGGAGCGTTTAGTCTCTATGCTTATTTCTGTGAGTGTACACAAACGTCTGTCCTCGTTATATACAGTATCTAAGCACCTGAGATGTACAGATGAACTTGTCCATCCCTGCACAGTGTAATCTATTGCTTCTTTTGATAATTTAGCTAAGAATATGAGAGTATTTTGACATGACACTAGTCTCTGGCAATACTCTTTTTTTATGTTTGTAGTTTTAATGCACTTAGGTTTTCTGCAGTCAGTAAATCAAGCAGGCCATGCATTCAATAAAGAGATGCATGCATGTTTGCTGGCTGGTTCTACATGGCTGATGTCTGTTTTTCTCTCTCCTACACAAACACCTTCACTCACATCACAGTAAAGCTTTGGGTTTTATGGGAAAATGATGCACAATGAGCAAAGTTTCACACCAGCATGGGCGCCCAATCAAACGTTGCATGTTATACAGGAAGACACGGTGCTTGTTGTGTTTGATCAATTGATTTTTTTGTAGCTGTGAGGCTCGTTACATCCATCCGGCAGCGCCGTACATTTTTACACAGCTTTCCATACAACTCCTTTGATGCTTTCTTAGCACATTTTTTCCCCTGCCTCTATGTGTCATTTATACTGTATTATTCTCTAGTGAAATATGAATGCAAAAGCACTCCTTATATTTAGGAGAACATCGCTTACTTTGAAATATTGAGGCAGGAAAAGACAAGAGGAGATCATTACTCAATTTGTATCATCCACTTGAGCTGCTGCTAATAAAAGCACCAGTTCTGGATTCTCGTCTTGTTGGCAGCTGTTGTCAATTTGTCACCCGTGAAGTGGTGTGAAACTTTAGACATGAGGAGAAATTAAAGGAAGGTGGATCATTAAGGGCTTTTCCTGTGTCATTTCTCAATTTTCTGTCCTTTAATTGAAGTTAACATTTTTAATTAATGTGTTGAGATCAGCTTCGATTATGTCAGATAATTAAACCAATAGGGGAAAAAAAGGGGGGGTTAAATTTCAAGATTCTTCTTTACTGGAGCAAAGATATAATGCACGAAATACATTGTGTTTCTGTATGTAAAGCTATGACTCATTCTAAATAATATTTTTAAATGTGAAATATTTTGATTGATTGTAGTTATTAGTGTAGAATTCAAATTAAATTTTGCACCTCCTGGAGGGTAATATGAGGAAAGTATGTTAGCATAAAAATCAGATGCAGCTTTTTGACTAAACAAGGCTCACTGGTGGTGGTGCATCTGGAAAATCAAAGCTGTTCTTCTGGTGTGTCAGAATAAACTAACCAACAGTGTTTTGGTATGGGACTCCGATGCTGCAGGTAGGTAAGGATGACCATCTGTATCCATCTATAAGAGCTCCACAGATGGAGAACTGGACAACAGAGCAGTTAAAGAAGATGGCCTGTTGTGATGAGTTATATTTCTGTTTTATCTCCATGATTCCCATATGTGTGTTTGTTACTTACAGGAAACATCATGATGCACAATGGTAAGGAACGCCCTTTTAGCATTTAATACTCGTAAACAACATTTAGGCATTGTCTAAAGCTTGTTAGCCTAAACCATCCACCAAACAGCCAAATGCATGCTCTGTCCAAACTCCTTTTTTTATTGAACTTTAGTAAACTTCTTCAAACTATTGCTTGACTAGGAAGAAGGAGTTTGCAGAAAATCATAAAGGCTACTCTGTTTTATTAGAGGCGTTTAATGAACTAATTGAAATTGTCCTCAACTTAGATCTGCATAAATCCTTGCCTTCATTGCTGAGACGATTGTCCATCTTACAAGGTAAATGATAATATCTATTTATTTTAAATATGCATCTTTATACAAACTAAAATAATGAATCTGTTTATAAATTGCTAGTAATAGTTGCCTCACGATGTTAGAGCTGTATGTTTAGAACTGCCTTCATTTAATTCTGCCAATGTTTTAAATTGAATCTGAAGTTTTCCTGTAGCCAATCTTCCCTCCCAGCTCCTTGTTACCCTTTACACCAAGCCGATCCAAAGTTCAGGTCAGCACAATTAATTTTAGATTAAACCTCAATTTCACAGATGATGAATTATCGTCACAAGAATGTGCTTTCACATATTCATAAATACAAATTGATGCCTGTAACAGGGAATAAGTTTGAACAAATCCTGAGCATCTTGACGCCAACTATATGCTGACAGAGATTCTCATTAGCAGCACTCGGAGGCTGTGACCTTTTCGTCTTTGCCTTTAAAGAAAATTCCTCCCAATCTGCAGCATCTGTCACTGTTCCCGCTCCTTGTGTGTTTACCTGTGCATGAATTATTCATTTGACTAAAAGAAACTTGAACACTCAAAAAATCATATCTATACACTGATTCTATGTAGGAAAGTGTTGCTAAGAAACAATTGACAGAATTGCTGATGTTCGTCAGGCTTCTTCAGTTTATCTCCATCTGTTTTCTATTCCGTCATCAAACAATCCTCCAAATGGTTTTATTTTTGTTGCTTTTCAATGTGTGTATGAGCCTTTAAAAGCTGAAAACATAGTGCAAGAAATCCGATTCAACTTCCTAATTCGATTTTTATGTTATTAATTGACACGTGTTTGCTGAAAGCTAATGGCTAAATCGGTGCATGTGCAAAGAAGGCTGGCTAAGCCTGAGGGCCGACTCGCACACAGCACACAGTGGACTGGCACCACCTAATAATTAAAGCCTATGCGAGTGTCTGGGTAGATCCATAAGTGTTCACTAATTTACAGACTCTACTGGTATTATTTATTAATTGGACTAAAAAAGACAAACGCCAACATAAGCCGGATTCTGCTTCTTCCTGTAACAGAAAATCATCAATCCAAATTTTGACATTAAGCAATAAAATTGAAAAAAAATCTCTTAAATAGCTTCTAATCAAGTTGAATGTAAAGATTTTGACACTATACAGATCTCAATCAATTAGAATGTTTTAGAAAAGTGTTGATTTCAGTGAATCACCTCAAACTGTGAAATTCATATATTACATAAGTTAATTACAAATAATTCAAGCTTTTGTTTAGCTAAGGTTAAAACTGCAAAATTACAGAAACAAAAAAACTATTTCTTACAAACAACATGTTAATATCATGGTCTGTGTAGTTATGTTCAAAAGTCATCAGTCTGCTCTGTCAACACGAAGTGTGGAAAAACAATATTGTTGTTGAACAAGCTAAATGATCATTGAGTAATGTATCCAGGCATATTAATGAAAAGTTAAGTGGAAGGAAAACATTAAAAAGTGCACAATCGGCTAAGAAAATGGAATTCTTGATGGAATTCTGAAGCTACTTGCTACTTTAAAGTTGTCAGATAGTATATTTATTTGGAAATTAGGTTCCGTGTTCACTGAGAGGAACACAATCCAACTTATTTCAATTCAATTCAGTTTATTTATATAGCGCCAAATTCACAACACATGTCATCTCAAGGCACTTTACAGTTTAACCAGATCATACAGTCAAATTGATTCAAAGTGTTCTATCTAAGGAAAACCAGTTGATTTCATTGACTCAAATACAATCCCTCACGCTAAGCATGCTTGTAGCGACTTATTGAGTCAAAGTTCTTAAAACTCACATGTTCTAAAAAAATGTTGACTCACAATCTACCAAAGAACCATCCACAATCTATTCATTGAACCACAAAAAAAGAACCAACTAATAACTCCTGTTTGAAAGCATAAGGTTTATCCATGCAGCCATTCTGGCCCAGCACCTTTCTCCCTCTGTGTGCTTTATAAGCTTTTTTTCATCCATTTTTCCCCCTATGACTCGGGTACAACTAGTTGTTTGGACAAAGGTAAATTTCCGTCAGTTGGTGTGAAATGCCTTCGTCTCTGTCCAGCCTGTGATTGCATCACCAGTGTCTCTGAACCATTAGCATTAGGACACACAAGCATTTTTAATATAACTATTATATATAAATTCAGCTTGTTTTGTAATAATTCTTCTGTGTTTGTTTCCTCCACTTTCTCTGTATGTTTTATCCACTTTCTCTTGCAGCTCTGCTATCCCTCTCCTGACACAATATATGCATGCAAGAAGTACTGGACAATTTGGGGTGCAACAATCCATGTAGATGAAAAACACAGCTTTACAATTTTTATGAGCTTGGATATATAAAATAACATTAATGTATTGTATAGTTTTCATTTTTGATGATGATATATAACTATAATACATTTGATGTATCAGCACTTTTAATAAAACAAATATACTTTACAAGGTTATTGAAAGCTTTGAAATGTGGATGAGGATCTTGAAGTGGATCTGTTGCTTTATGGAGCCAGTTAAATTGTTTTAGGAGAGCTGTTACACTGTTTTTTTTAAATGTAATTTTGACTTTTAAAGAAGTCTCTTATGTCTATCTTGTTCTTTTTTCAGATATGCTGGCTGTGAGTCTATTAACCAAACACATGAACACACATGAGAACAATTCAGATTTCTTTAGATTAATGCACCTGATATTACAACCTTTCTAGATTACGTGACACGAGAAGAAAAAATGCCTGATTTACGGTATGAGATTCCCTCACCAACTGATATCTTTCGCAGAGCCATGTTTTTCTACAAGACCTTCCACAGACCCAATTCAGTGGCGCATCAGATGTTTGTAAAGTGAGCTTCTCAGGAGTGACAGCCAATCACACAAGAAAAGACTGTGGGCCAATCAGGAGCTCATAGGCTTTTCTGCTTGTTCCTAGTCCTCAACGACTCAACTTTTGAAAAAGTGCAGGGGACATGTCCTCTGTGCCCCAAATTACGTCAGTGAGCTGCTGTGATTCTTATACATCCAAAGGAAAC